ATATATTTGTAAAACTTTTTTTGTTGTCTCTAACAACAGCGGCCAGGTTGCGTTCTAGCTGGGCTTTTGCCTTTCTCATTTCCTCTCTGCTTGACCTAACGAGATCCCTGTACTCTTCTTGAGTTGCCTGCCCCTTCTTCCACAAGCGGTAAACTCTCCTTTTTTTCCTGAGTCCCAACAAGAGCTCCCCGTTCAGCCAAGAGCTCCCCGTTCAGCCAGGCCGGTCGTCTTCCCCACCCGTTCTTCTTACAGTGTATGGGGACAGCCTGCTCCTGCGCCTTTAAGACTTCCTTCTTGAAGAATGTCCAGCCTTCCTGGACCACTTTGCCCTTCAGGACTGTCTCCCAAGGGACTCTCTCAACCAGCATCAACAGGCCAAAGTCCGCCCTCCGTAAGTCCATGGTTGAGGTTTTGCTGCCCCCCACTCCTTACTTCACCAAGAATTGAGAATTCTACCATTAGACATCTTTCTAAAATGGAAAATGTGTCAAATGACAGTTAGGAACAATTCACTTGTGGTACAACAATTTTTCCCAGTGTGCTTATTACAAATAATGACACAGACATTCTCATATTGCCATACAAATGGCTCCTACAAGCTACTAGAGCCAGAAACGTATACCCTCCATGTCTTTGTACAGTTTATGAATCTGTTTCTCTCCACTACTGTATTAAATGTCGACGTTGCTCTGCGGTAACATATTAGCTGTCAAGGAAAGGAAGCACACCTCATCACAGTTTGTTCAGGTCAAACACTTTACCCAGACAGTATACCTGCAAATTGTCTGCTTGTCCCTAAAATGTTAACCCCGTTTGTAACAGAATATAATTAAAAAAATAAACTCATTAATCAAAGTGATGAGATGCAATACTGAACCCCTAGGTGTAAGCGTAGAAAAACAAGTTACTTACCTTTTAATAACAGTTCTTTGGTATTTTTTAATTTCTGTGACTCCTGTTTCTGAAAGGATGTACCTACAACTTGTTCTCTTAGCGGTGACTCTGAAGACACAACTTCCATATACTCTGTGTAGGAGGTGCAAAATTATAGATGGAATAGGCCCAGTCTTATTCAATTCCTTCATTTTCACGGAAATCCAAAGACAGACTCAATTTTATTCAGAGGGGAAGGTGAATTTGGGGATCCAGATAGTCAAGCATGCAACCAACACAAATCTTTTCTCCTTTAATCATTTGCCCACACAGCCTGGTAAGCAAAGCTGGTTCCACAGAGATGCAACTAAGAGGAATCCAATCCATGGGTGCTTCTTGAGTTAAGGTAAACAAAGCAGTGACTGTACATATGCTCTTAACTCCCAGGCAACTCATCTATAGAATTAAGGACCTGAGTTCTTACTTTCTCTAAGTGCATGAAAATGAGCTCGTGTTTTAAGGATTCAGTGTCAATCCCTTAACACAGAAGTCCAAAGCTAGGCATATTTGCAGAACGGATTTGTAACAAATATAAAAGTAAACATAATGCAGATGTACTAAATAATACAGAAAGATAAAAGCAACAGCAAGAGAAAATTGGCCACTGTAAAGTCATGAAGCTTAGGGATTCAGTAGTGGTAGATGATTGTGGTGGGTTGACGTGGATTGATGGTTGGACTCGATAATCTTAGAGGTCTTTTCCAACCTTAATGATTCTACGATTCTATGATTAAACAGGTTATACAAATTTCAAATTCTTTTAGTAACAATTTTAGGTCTGGCTAAAAATGGGAGGGAGTATTTTTCACAGGGTTGAAAACAACTAAGGAGTAAGCAAATCTGTATCACAGAGGAATCAAACAAATGACAGCAGGAACACCTTTCACTATTTTGATGCTGAAGTCAATGTGTTGCCCTAACTTCACTCCAAACACACCATTCATCTCAGTCTTCCAGGCAAGGCAGACTTTCAAGTCAGGAGACCAATTTATAACATTTCTTCTGTCACCTGTGTATCTCAGTTCTAAGATGAAAACTATACATTTTCAAGCCAGTATGTTTTAATAAAATTTACCAGAAGATAAGTACACTAACTGTCACTAAGAACCCTTATCTCTAAGTAGCAAGAACCTTAACAATAGACCTAAGTCAAATTGTTAGGACTTTTCCTTAAGTCAAGATGAAATGCGCAAAGTACATAAGCAGTTCCATAATCAAAAGATACTACACCTGGTTATTAAGAAGTGAAGGTTTCTTCTTTCTCTCTCTCTCTTTTTTTTTTTTTCCCTTTTAAATAGAGAGGAATCTATTCTTGCAAGCAAAATGTTATTAACTGCATTTAAGAGAAAGAACCAAGCCTCATATAACTTCACAGCATTATATTCTACTGATTTCTAGTGAACAAGAATAGTATTTATATTAGAAACCATAGAGAGCTTTCAGATATTTTAATCAATGACATCCTATTATAACAACATTTCCAGTATCATTACACAAATTACATCGAACATCGATATAATCTTTTCCATTATGTGTCTGCCTGGCAATTAATACTTCTCTAGACTTCAACAGTATATGAATATTGTGGTGGTATACATACATTATTCCATTTTCTTAAGAGGCAAGCAAATGAATCAGCATTTAAAATATATAACAACATGAAAGGTTTTGAACTTACCTTCTTTTTTTGTGTTCTGTTCCTGCCTCCCAACCAATCATCCATCTGTTCCTCAATATCTTCAATTGAAGCTCCATGATCATATGATGGTATATATGCACTTGACTCCAAAACCGTGTATACAGGGAATTCTGATTTTGGTTTCTTGACTTTAGGCTTCTTCTCCTCTACACAAAAGTAAAAAAGAAGAAAAAGTAGTGCTACTAATACTGCAGAGAAGTATTAATTCAGAAGCAGGCTTAGCTCCTCAACTCTTAATGCTATATTAAAACTTCCACTGACGAAGGGGTTTCAATTTCTTTGTTAAAAAGACAATTCAGAGTTTTGCATAGTAATTTTATTTTTATGAAAAGTAAATAGCAATGCACACACTTAGCCCCTCTTCTATCTGAACTATGCCTTAAAAGGGCCAAATGAGCAGCCCCTCAAAAACACCGTTAGCTCTTGTCACTGCTACACCACCTGGCAATTAAGATTAGTACAGGCAAAAGCAGAGGGAGTTGTTAAAAGATTTCGAAAGTCCAGCTGGCTTCAAAGAAACTGGCAAAGGTAGAAATGTGAGTTTTAGACAATTTTTTATTGCTTTATGGTCAGCTGTGCTGAGTAAAAGCTTCTGAGTCAATAGATAGCTTCTCTGTTCTCAGACTTCCATAACTACAAATAGCTCTTTTTTAGCACTTATACATTTCGGAAGATTTAAATGTCGGACCTCATTTCTCAAACTGATCACTGTTTTCTGCTCTCTGTGTCCTTCAAATGGTATTAAATGGTAGTAGCAAACCTAGGGGACAGGAAGGAGGGACAAAAACAACCTAAACCCCATCAACTGAAAACATATCCACTATATAAGATGATCTCAGAAGAAAGATTTAAGATTGATTGAAAATTGCCAGAACTTTAGGAAAGACAAGAGGATGAGGATCAGAAAAAGGAGCTTGAACTGAGAAAGCATCCAGAAACCTCAGATATGCCAAGTGGGACTCTTTTGGTTTTTCCTCATTGTTTTAAAAATATGCTGTAGTCACAATAACTGGATGCTCCCAAGGATGCTACTAAACTGAAAGAGCTGATCTAACGGCTGGCTGCAGCCAAAAGAGGAAAGTTCTACTCTGCCTCCACCTTTTCCACTCTCTACTGTGTGCTTATGTGCTCCTCTCTCTTCTATTTCTGCTTCGACAGTCATCCAACCACTTAGCAAACTAATTCAATTCACTAATCTAGTAGAAAATTACTCCTTTACACTGAAACAAAAAGAAAGAACCCAAGTTGTTTAAAGGTGGTGGGCAAGGAAAAGAGGAACCACACTTCTCAGCAGCAGTGGGCCATTAGATCAGCTTATCTGCCTTCGCAACCATGCCCTAATACTTTTCTGAGCACCAGAGAAGAAATACGTTTTTCATGAAAGCCTCGTTAAAAAAAAAAAAATTCTAAAGAGGACAGAAGGACTGTTCCCTACAGACTCTGATGCAGAATTCCTTTTCCTAACAGTATATGTGCAGGAACAGAACAGTGAAAAGACTCCATGGACTTGACAAACTCCTAGGAACCGAATACTTAAGAAAACAATAACTGGAGAAAGAACTGTTTCACGGCACCTTTCAGAAGTCCAAAAAGAACAGGAAATTAATACAGATGTTGAAATTTAACAGAATGACTAACGATCTTTTGAACTTTTAAATGTACCTTGTTCAGAGACCTTTTTGTGAAAAATCTCTAACTTTGCTTGTAATTGTCAAATTACTGTCAATAAATGAAATATTAAGTAAAAACTTGTATTTGGAATTTTTTTTAGCATCCTTTTATAGGTATGCATAGTAAATGTAATTAAATGACATATACTCCCCCCCAAAAAAGCTAAAAGAAAGCCCAAAAATGTTAACCAGCATTTCTCTCATTGCTCAGATGTTATTAAAGACAATACTGTTGCAAAATTCTTTCTGTCTATTTCAAAAGGTAATTTTTATAACCAAATCGCATATATTAACCATTATCTCATTCTTCTCCGAAGTTGCCATATGTAATAGCTTCTGGAGTGAAAGTTAAGATTTGCAAGGATAAGTAACAATGATTTCACCAGTTATTTACTGCAAACACATATACGGGCAAAAATATTCTAGGAAGTTACATTAAATCAGAATTTCCACTACTGTATTTCAATCCTGCAAAATAATCAAGCACACTGCGTGTGTTCACTTGAAATTTTTTAACAGTGGAGACACACCAAGACAGATTTTCCTGTATCTTACACCCCATCAACTACTGTTTGCTAATTTTCCCTCTCAAAATATGCAAATAGTTAAAGCCTGAATGCATCTAACTAACATATAAAAACGAAGAGCTTAGCCTGCAAATAGGTCATCTAGGCTCTTTCTGTAGTTTTAGAACTAATTCCGTAACAGTATTTCCAGAAGGAACTGCACCCCACTTTAAAATGAGGTATCAATGACAGTGTCTAGGCTTTCTTCAGGCAGTTAAGAGAGAGAGGAAGACCTAACATAGATAAGACACCCTGCTGTTTGCTGACTATCAAAGGAACGAGAAATCCCACCTAGAGAAGATGGCTGTACAACCTCAAACAAGCACTCAACCAGAATTAAAAAATCTGTCTCTACTGTCTCCTGTGCATATACAAAAAGATGAAGGAGTTCAGCATATCCCTTACATACCACAATGGCTGTCATACTGAATTTTAAAAAATAAATAGAATTGAAGTCACAGCACCTTTGACATAGGGCTCCCAATAACCAATTGAGAACAGTTTCACCCCAGAATTTTCGAAAGCCGCTTTTTAGAACAGGAAAGCACATAAAAGTGGTTTAACGGTAACATCATAAAGTATTTTAGATAGGGGAAGTTCAGAAATTATGTTTGGAGGTAATGATGTACACTATGAAGCCTTAAGTTAAGGCAGCCAAGCACTGTTGTTCTTTCAGGTAAAGATGGAGAAAGCAAAACAGATCACCGAAACTTTTTCACCCAAAGAACAGAAGTCCACAGCAGATACCTAGGAAGAAAACCTCTCTCTTTCTATGCTATCTTTTCATTATCAGCAATTCAACTGGCAGCCCAAAAAGACACTTGCGACCTGACCTGGTGCTTTCCCCTGAAGAGAATAAGGATCAGGTTTTCCAAATAGTAGACGATGCCTAGACAGCTGAATCCTACATCTGCTAAGGCTTGACAGACAGCCAGGAAGCTGGTGCTGCTGCCACCACCACAACCTAAAGCAAGGATGTGTTTGATGGTGCTGACAGTAGCAATAACTGCAGCTGTGATTCAGAGTTTTGAAACACAAGTGTTGCCTTAATACTCAGTGTCATCTTCCAATGGTGCTGGGTTTAGACTATGTGGCCATCCACTATAACAGAACAGGCTTTTAAAATGCATCTTCTCCTCCAGTCTCAAATATTGTTCTAATATTGTTGCATATAAACCTAACTGAAATGCAGGAAAAAACATACCGAAAAAGTTTTCAGAGGTTCCTCCCAGTTTTGTGACAGCCTACTCACTGTCCACTGGAGACGCAATCAGACCACTATGCCCTATGCAGGCACCAATATGAAGCAGATCTTAACTATGACCAGTGTTACCGGTGCTCACACAACTAAATGCAGTGAAGAGAAAGAGTCTTGGTGAAACCAGAGCTTGATTTCAAGCTCAGTAGGGTCAATGAATAGCTTATTCTCACTACTATTTTCTGGGAACATTATGTATTTTAATTGCCAAATTACAGTGTAGTAACTTTTCTAGTTTATTAAACAGAATTTAAAAAAAGGCAACAGCAGAAAGTAAATGGATAATCCAAGATAGTCAGAACTATGGAAACTTTGATATGTACCACTTCAATAGTTCTAGTCCTTCTGTAGCAGAAGAAATTTTGTTTTATCATTTGCTGAATCCATACTGCAAGGACACTAATTTTCTATGAGTAATTTCCACCTTTAGAACTATCACGTTCTTTACCAGAAGACTAAATTCGACTGTGTATTTAACAACTTAGAGTTAAAAAGAGAGATATAATTTGTCCCCTATGTTTGAACAGCATATAAACACACCTGTCACTGGGATCCCTAGACTTTAACAGATAACAATTAGCTAACTCCCTTACCTGTACAGTACTTCATGTTTCTAAAGGCCTCCAAAACTATTCCAGTACTGGCTATACTATATTTTACTAGTTTATGGTGCCATGATCCAGGTTTTGAAGTTTGATTAATTACTTGCACATAATGAGATACTTTGACGTTTCTCGTTAGTTCTTCCACCTTGTTACTACATCAATTTTATCAGTGACAGAATTAACAATATCTGGCTAATGGTTATTTGCTTTAAGATATATCAGCTGTCATTTTTAGCAGATATGGAATCAGTTAGCATTTTGGATCGAGTGCCATGTAATAATAGTGGTGCTTTTTCCATAATAAATATCAGAGGTCCATATTTTAAAGTTTTCAGAAAAGTATATACCGATTTTACCTGCCAGTTGATGTAAATGTAAATAATTCAGAGAATTTTTCACAGAAAAAATGACTGCTTCATATATAAAGAAACAAAACAAAACAAAAACCAAGTGTTGAACTTCTGCAAAGAAAGTATGACACATCAAGCTGGAGCTCCCTCTCTCTGCAAGGTTTCTAAGCTTTAAGCATGACAAGAACTCACAGAATTCACAGAAAATATGGGCAAAAAAGACAGTGATGTCTTGAAAATCACACAAAGAAAAGGGACAGACTGGTATCTCATGCGTTGATAAGCAAGAAATACTATCACACACAGAGGCAGACAGCAAGTCAGTAAGATACTGCATTGAGATCTCCTTTTCTTTCAATATTGTTCACTTACCCACGTAACTATGAAAGACAACCAAAGCATTTACAGCATTAAAATTTGTTTAAAACATGACAGAGAAAAAATTCACTTGCATATACAGCAACACAATCAGATAGAATACAATAGACCCAAAAGTCTGGAAAAAAATTGTACTAAGGTTTTGACAAGTCTACTGAAAAAATGCAGCAAACTATATTGAATATTAATGCAAATATGGGGCAAACACTCACAGGTTTAAAAAAACACACATTTCTGTATACATAATAAAGCCAATGGGATTATATGAATGCATCATGAGTTGGAGACAGATATATACATCTGCTGTACTGTGACCTAGAAGCTAGTTTATTTTTGAGCAAACTGGCTAAAAACATGCTCAGTGATGAATATATCCTCAACTACAAAAAACTTCTCTCAGAGTTTCACGCCTTTCATTTTTTTCTCTGAGTATCTACCCTTCCCAAAATTTCCTATTCCCCCAAAATATCTCATCCCCATATAAAAGGGTTAGAAATAAACCTCCAATATTTAGGAGCTAATTTGCCTTCCAACAAACATATAATGAAACACACATGCCTCTTGCAAATGAACCTCATGACACTGTATGTCAGTGGAATATTTTCCATCAAATCTGAAGCAACTTTTGTAGGGAGAGGCATCATATTGCCTAGTTGAAACAACTGGAAAAGCACAAGAGCTTGCAAGTTCAAAATCCTTTCAGCAGGCCTGCCAAAACAATCAGTGAAATGGATGATACTTAGTTTGCCATAATTAGGCTTCAGAGGTAACAATTAAGTGATCAGAACATTCACACCCACGCCGACCAAAAAAGCATGCATTATATGAATTAATTTTCTCTGAACCTGCCTGTCAGCAAATCATTACCGAGCAGGCACGTGAACACTGCATTTTGGCATGGATTAATACTAAACACAGTTATCCAAGATATTTGTCAATTATTTGGAAGTAAACGTGAAGTCACCGTCAGTATAGTGCTAGATTACATAAATTTGATCAAAATGGTTTACAGTGAAGACGAAAGTACAAGAAGTAGGAACATGGACTGGCTGGTAGTCTGGGACCAATCAAATCAAAAGCATTTTTGAAAATTAAACAGTTAAGGGCCTTATGCCATATCTGCACCTATGAGGGACTGTGTGCAAGGAACCTTTGATGTAAGAGCTTGCAGTTATGGTGGAGAAGCAATCTGAAACGAGCTATCAGAGCAATAGGAACTAAGATAACCTGTGAATCTGTAAACAGAACAGTAACAATAGAAGAAATGTGATTTTATAATTCATTAGAACACTATATACAAACCCAGGTTCCAATACTTACAGCTACACTGGAAAACTAAATAGAGTACAGGAAATCCACAGAAATTAAGGACTAAAGAAATGCTTTATATAAGGAAAACCTGCAGATAAATAAAACTTTTTTTAGCACAGAAAAATGCTAAAAATGAACAACTGAAAGCTAAAGCTAGAGAAATCCATACTGAAATTAAGATATAACAGTAAAATTAATTGTCTGAACAAACACCATGAAGAACGGAAGGCATCTCAAGGTTTTCTGATCAATATTGTATCTTGCGTAACAAGATGCTAAAAGCTAAAGTGCATCACTGGTACGAGTCAAACAAGACAAGTCATGAGAATCAGTATTTTTCACTGATTTTTGCCTGTAAGGGTCTGAAATAAACACATTATACTAAATGATCTAGTGATGTCTTCTATCCCTAAGTTTCATGAAACAATATAAAAAGCTACCCAAGCAACATGCTATATTCCAAGCTGTCTGGAAAGGGAGAACCACCAAGCCTAACCAAACTTAATCAAATGTATTAAAGGTTTCACTACCACTCTGGATTTTTCACAGCAGGCACTCAGGTAAGATGTCTTACTATAAAGCCCTATACAGAGATAAATACCACTACAGATACCATCAGAAAGCCCTGATTCAGAAAGAAGGCTAGTAATGCAGCCATAGGGCTAGTAACTTTGTATTTCAGTTAAAGCTTGAATCATGGGGGCGAGGCAAAAAACCAAAAAAACTAAGTACTGTTCAACATGGTTTATAACTAGAAACAAAACAATTTCTTGCCATGGATTTTTCCAGATGCCTTGTACATCAGGGCAAGAATTCTGGATTTACAATGAAAATATGTTTGGTAACTGGGGTGCCAGTGAAGAGTTTACCTGCAATATCTAGCAGGCACTATTTCTTTAAAAAGACATATTTTTAAAAATAAATTGAAGTCTTCATATTGAAGGTCAGGGAAAACAAACATAAGACAAACAGAAAGTAAGAGAACTACCAAGACTAAGTATAAAGAAAGAAAAATAGATGCATTTTCCCCCACAAAATGGACGTGCTTGAAAGAAGTACTCCATGCAAGAAAAGGACCAGTAGAGCTGCTAGAATTTGTCTTGATAACTACTCAAACCTTGCAATTTAAGTTTAAAAACTGTCAGAGTCATCTATCCTGACAATGTATGCCTAAGTCTTCCCAGCTCAGTTAACATATACTCTCTTTCACATTCTGTGACTATGAAGAACAGGGCTATCTATTGTTACAGAATCATTCCCTGATGCAGGGATTATCTGCATGTGTGACACTACAGGAGAGGGAGAAGTTAACAGAAAGTTTATTAATTATAGCACTTTCATTTTAAAATAAATTTTGTGTTCTGGTATCTAAATGTGAAAAGGGCATCAGAAAATGTAAGGCAAACCATTTCTATTTTTGTACATAAACACCCAGTTATCTGTAATTCCATACAAAACCACATTTCCTAGAAACATAAGGTCTGTATTGTAAGTTGGTATATTTTTGTAAGGTAAAGTTGCTATATTTTACTAAGGTAGTAATGACAGTTTTGCATGGATGGAGAAGTGATAAGAAACACTGCAAAAGTGCCAGAAAAATAAACAAAATTGTGCATAATATTGACTTACCAAGAAATTACTTTTTCACACTCCTTACCAAATATAGCACTTGAATGACATCTCAATACTGTCCTCTCTTTCCTACTTCGCAAATTTATTTTCCTCAGCCAGTACCCTTTTCTGGTTTTAGTTCAAACCGCCTACAGAATACCACA